TTGCTAGGTACGTTCGACAATGAACGCTTAATTAAATGGATTCATGTTGAAAATTCTTAGTTTCATGAACGAGTTGTTACATAATTTACACTTTTTTTAAAACTTTCAATTTTTGTAAATACCACAAAGTTCTATCAATTGATTGAATTTATTAATGAACTTCCAGTGCTTAACGATCGACTGTTTGAGAAATGCCAACAAAATATAAAACGATATATATATATATATATATATATATATATATATATATATATATATATATATATATATATATATATATATAAATATATATATATATATATAGTTTTATTTTATAATATTGAGAAATTTAATTACCTTCATAATGAAAATAAAATAGTTTCAATTATAGTGTAATATTGACATTGATATGTATTAAATTACAAAAAAGGTTTTAAACGTTTTCAAGCAAATTAAAAATATAATATTTATATAATTTATATTAAGTATTTAATACCATCGCGATTGATGTACACACATTTAAGTTTAGGTAGAATCGGCGCATGAGGTCCGAAAACTATTCCAACTCATTTTTGATGACGATCATGCATTTAACATGTTGAAATGGGGTAACTCAGTGCCATATGGTTTAGTTTTTTTTGTCATTTGCAAGGTATTGTTATTTTCAAACGTGCCAATTTTTTAGTAGCAGCGGTATCCGAATATGGAAATTTTTAAATCTTTAAAGATTATTAACTAAAAAAATATATAGATAGTTTTCGGTACTTATGTTCCGATTCCTCTTGAACTATTTGAAGCTTTCTCTTTTTAAAGGGCCATGAAATAAATCAATTCAAATTATTCTGATTCTAGAAGAACAGGAATATTTTCTGTATAAAAATTTTACGCTTTTTATCAACTAATTTAAAAAAAAATTAAAAATAAAGAATGAAGTGGCAAAATTTACTTCACTATTATTTTTTTTTGTAAATTATAAGCTAGTGCTTGATTATGACCCCACTTAACCGAAACTGTTGATGCAGTCTTGGATAAATATACTAGCTTACTTACAGCCTAAATACTCTTCTCTTAACGTATCCGTTGTATTTGTCGTTATTATGGGTATACGGCAAGAGTGATGCCAGAAAACTTATCCAATATTTCATGTACGCACCTTACGGACTGCATCAAAACGCTTATTTATCTGCTATTCTATATCTTCATCATCAAATAATAAAATAAAAAATAATCATAGAAATAAGATAAAGAATGACTCAGTTTGTATTATGTATATTATTATGTAATAATCTATATTGAATAAAAATCATTCCATTCGATTCCATTACATTCCATCATCATCATCATTATCATGTTCAATTCACTGCCAAAAATAAGCCTCCCCCATTTTACGACACACCGGGTATGTGGATATTATCTTAAGCCTTACAATTTAATTAATCTTAATCTTAAGTAATACAACGAAAGGACGGAAACTCGTCGTGCACAAACAAACTTGTATCTTATGACGGAGAGGAGAAATATTCTAAAATTTCTGACCGGGTCTCCCTTACGACCGATTTGAGTACGCCCCGAGCACTAGTTGCCCCATTCAATCTACATTTATTACTTTAACGTGCTTATTTTGAGTTGACATCGCGATTTTGTTTCCTATGGTAATACTGATTAAGGTAGCTAGATAAGTTATAAAACATTAGCTGGTCCCCGGTACGTTGCTGCCGCAGAAGAAATAATTGTGAAAATAACGGTTTAAATTTGAAAGAGTTTAAAGTTTATTAGGAAAGATTAATATCATAAAGTTAAATATCATTCAATTCATTGAAGTTTGATGATATTAAACTTTCAAATAAATTCGTCGATATGATACGCACGCCATCTACTGTAATTTAGTTGTACTATGCCTACAGGAAGACGTTGCTGTCCATCTGATTAATTTACCCCTGTCGCCTCATACGACACCCACGGGATGATACGGGCTTGTAGATATTCTTACACCATCACTACACGGTAATAACGTACAACATGCCATAGTGTATTTCAAATTTATTTAATACTAGCTTGCCAGGCAGACGTTGTTCTGCCGTTTTCGACGACTCTTTGACATGTCCTATTAAATATCCTTAGATTCGCAAAAAAATTGTAGGTCATGGGCAAAAAAACTATCCTATCTCTCAAGTTGGACCAAAGTGCACACGGTGTACAAAATTGATTAAAATCGGTTAAGTAGTCGCATCGCGGACAAACAACGTGACACGTAATTTATATATATTAAGATTAATATGAAGAACTCGAATAGATTTTATATCTAAAATAAAAAAATCACGAGCTAAAATATACTTGTCAAAATTTCACTTAAATTAACAAGTTCCTTACCGTTTCTTTAGCATTGTTAATCCTGTGGCCATTCTTCCACCAAGTGATAGACGCCGGTGGCCGAGACCCGGAACTCGGACAGAGAAGATCATATCTTCTAGTCGCTGATAATGGCTGATTTGAACCATGTATGTGAGCTGTTAATGGGGGAACTGTAAACAAGATTTATAAAAAGTCTTAAAACTTTCTTATGACTTACACTTAGGCACATTCCATGGAATAAATTTCGAGTTGGACTCAAAAGAATACCTCGCTATATTTTTTAAATCACATTTATTACATTTTGACGGAATGTGCCTAGAACTTGAGAGAAAGAACTAGCTAATCTAGACAAACATACTTATACTAATATTGGAAAACGCAACGACAGTGTGTTTACACAAAACATTTTAAGCTACTTGCAAAAGCTATTGAATTAACACACTTTTTATTTAACTAACATAAAAAAATATGAAAAGGGTGATGATAGCAGTCACTTCAATCATCACCGAGCTTCATCAGCAGTTGCTTTAATCATGGGATCTACAGGAATGTATAACGTTTTTAGAACTGCTATGGAACTTGGTACCCGTTCATATCTCAACTCTTTTATCGGCGAAGTAGACCAATACCAACATCGTTGTACCTAGCTCGGCACCCTTTTCAAATTTGTGTTTGTGGTGGGATAGTAAATCAGAGATTTATCGTGCAAAAAACTTAATCGGTTAGTAAGAGATTAAGAAGCAGTAATTACTTAATTAAACATTTTTCGTTGTTACTACCAGTGCATCATAACTGCACTAGCGACAAAGCTCTTAGTTATTTAAAAAAATTACGTTCAATACAAAGAAATAGCAGATTATTTTATTGGAGTTTTAGCTTCATATAATATTTTTTTCTTTAGTGTTAATCTATGCCGTCGTTCATTGATGACGTAAGAGAATTTAAAGACTTCATTTCGTACCAAGAGTGACAATTTCGTAACATGGTAAATACCAGAAAGTTTTTATCACACCAGGTGTAAAATATTCAGATTGTTGACAGAATAGAAAATGCAAGATGCCTCTAAAATAGTATTTCTTGATCCGCTTGCGAAGCTTGGCGATTATGGTAAATCGTCCCTAAAAAGGGTAATGCCCATCATTGGTCTGTTACAAACTGAATATTAAATAAGTGGTAAAAATAAGAATTTTGTACAACCAATTTCAATATGGATAAAATGCCAATATCATCAATGTAGTCAAAGTCAATTAAATACGCATTATTAACGATAACTCAAAAACTTCTGGTTAGATCTCGATCAATTTTTATGGGTCCACATGAAAAGCGTCAGCTTTCAAATAAAAAAGAATAATCAAAATCGGTTCACCTACAAAAAGTTATGTGGTAACAAATATAATAATATAATAGTGTCCTCCAGACCGAATTTCGGCTACGGCGGTCTGCCTCAACGGAAGCTAGCCATCGGCGCAGGACAGGACACTGTTCCCTCACTCTCGTAATCTGATGGGACGGTAAACTGAAACGATCGGGAGAGAGATCAGGCGCAGGACCAACGGCTTGACGTGCTTTCCGAGACACGGGGTGAGACACCGCCAACTTCCTGACTCCGGGCAGCTACTGAGAATTTCGTAATGGAAAAACTCAATAATTGATTTTTTTGGCCCGAACCGGAATTCGAACCCATGATCTCATGATCAGCAGTCGCACTACTACAACCACTAGACCAACGAGGCAGTCAACAACACATAAAAAAACATGCAGTCGAGTTGAATCCCTCCTCTATTTTTGAAGTCGGTTAACAAACTACCGGTAAGGAATAGTAATGTTAGTAATGCAAGGCATTGTGGTAGGTGTTTCTGGCGTCAATTTGCTTGAGTTTCATGGAAATGCCAAGCATGAGTATCATAGAAATTCCTTCATCAATAATTGACAGAAACTATGTCTGACAGAGAATTGAGGCGGACTGTTACAGCAGTGTATGGAGACTTTCTACAATTTTTTTTAATTATTTTACTCGCAAATTACTCGCTGATGTTCTTCGCTCGCTTCCACAAGACCATGATACGGCTACCTCTTGGAGGCCATCAGATTTATCTAGCATTTACAATCTTTGCCTCTTACGAGATCCAGGCAAGAAATGAGGCGGTGGGATTCTCTTACGCCGGAACCACACCATGGGCAGTTAAGCTATTAATTCATTTAAAGAACAGACTTATGATATTGTTAAGTAAACGGTTCCGTGGTGCAGTGGCTTAGCAATGAGTTGCGGTGCTAAAGGCCATGGTTTCGTATCCCGCATGGAGCAAGTATTTGTATGGCTAACAAATAATTGTTCCGGGTCTGGATGTTTGTCCTTGTGAAATTCATGTATGTAAACTGCCTCTACGATAAAGGACAAAATCCTAAAGTAGGGGGTGACGTTTTTAAAAATAAAATAATAATAATAATAATAATAAAGGCGTAGGGAATTGACGACCCCATCGCCCGCTGACGTAACAGTTAAGTGACAAAACTGCTACGTCAACGCAGTCAGTCAGCGCCTTGCGAGAGGTGTGAGCGCCGTGCCTCGGCAGAATTTAGGGTGCAGAGGCCCGTTTGTGCTTATGGCTACACAAGAAACGGTGCCGGGCCTGGGCGTCTCCCGTTAATGGACGCCCAAATAATGGATGATGGATAAGAAGATAGTGCGCAAAGGGCCGCTGCCTGGGGGTCGCCGGGGCGCGTCTGGAGCTGGCGCTGGACGCGGCAGCATGCGGGTCGCCAGCCGAGCGCGAGGAGCTGCACGGTCACCTAGCAGCCCTCCGCATCCATCATCCCCACCAGAAGGCTTGGTGTCGGCTGGGTCTTCTCGGACTCAGCAAGCGGCACCCGCCGCTGGTGGAGCACGTCGCATGCGTTGGTCACAAGCAATGAATGCAAACGCATTGCGGGCGTACTTTAGGGCAAAAGGGGAAGAAACTGGATGTTTGGCGTATCGGGCTAGGATGCATCGTCTTTTTGCTGAGCTGGAGCCATCTTTAACCGTCACAGAGCAAAACCTGGCAGACCGAGTTCGGTATATCTTGCGCTCAAATATATTTGATGTCGCCGAACTCGAACGGCTACGACGTGAGGCTGTTCCCTCGTCGGATGAGAATGCTACGGCTGAGGATGCGGCGCCACAAATGGTAGAGCAACCCGCAAACGTGGATGCCGCCGTGAATACCCCAGTTGTGGTTGATTCAAACGATGATGGAACAGTCGCCCAGGAACTGGAATTAGAGCATATGAGGAGTACATTGGAAGAGGCGATTGTGGAAACGCGCAGTACGCCTCTCGAAAATCGACCGCGACTTCCCCGCATAGCCCTAAGCAAGCGGAATCGGGCTGTCGTGAGGGCTCTGAACCCAATGCTGGTGACCTATTTGGAAGCCAGCCGGGACCTTTGCGAGACGGACTCAATTCTTTTTGGCGCCGCGCTGGCAACCTGCCGTATCATAGGCGCCAAGGTTTCCACGGCTGGACGCGCTACTGGCCATAGTAGCGCTATCCCAGCATGGAGAAGAAGAATTGAGGAACGTATCGCAAAGGCTAGAGCTCTCATCGGCAGACTGATATGCTTCAGATCAGGCAACAACAGGCCAAGAATTGTGCGCACCGTCAGGATGGCGTTTGCTGGGACAAATGTCAGTTTGTCCCAGCCGGATATAACGCAAAAATTGACGGAGCGCATAGATGATCTGAAGCAGAGAATCGCTGCTTGGGGAAAGCGGATTCGGCGATATACCGAGAGGTCGACACGGTTCAACCAGAATCGTCTCTTTCAGAGTGATCAGAAGAGGCTCTATGAATCATTGGAGCGACCAATGGTAAGTGGAACGGGTCCAGCACCGAATCAGGCCGACACTGTAGCATTCTGGCGCGGCCTGTGGTCAGAGCCCGTAAACCACAGCGAGGGCCCTTGGACGGAAGTTGTGGCGAGTCAGTGTGCGGGTATTACGCCCATGGACCCCGTCATCATAACGCCGGATGACGTAGCTGAGGCGGTCCGTAGGGCCCCGAACTGGAAAAGTCCGGGGCTTGACGGGCTGCATCACTACTGGCTGAAGGGGTTCATGGTGTGTCACTCTGTGCTCGCCCGACAGTTTCAAGAGGCTCTCAACCAGAAGTCGCTCCCAAGCCTCTTCACTACTGGGATCACTCATTTGGTTCCTAAAGACCAGGGTACCACAGACCCGAGCAAATACCGCCCCATCACGTGTCTACCGACCATATACAAGACACTAACATCCATTTTGAGCGCGAGAATCACTTGTCACCTGGACTCAAATCAGGTGATGTCGCGCGCTCAAAATGGATGTCGGGGCCGTGGTCGTGGAACCAAGGAACCACTCCTCATTGACGCGGTCATTGGCAAAGTGGTGAAACGCAACCGTCGGAACTTCTCCGCCGCCTGGATAGACTACAGAAAGGCATTCGACTCGGTGCCCCATACATGGCTAAAGAGAGTCCTCGAGCTGTACAAGATAGACTGTACAGTTAGAGACTTCCTCGAGCAGTGTATGGGGCAGTGGAGTACGATCCTTTGTCATCTGGGCGAGCGGATGATGGCTGCGGAGAACCACATAAGGATAAGAAGGGGTATCTTCCAGGGCGATTGTCTGAGTCCAATCTGGTTCTGCCTCTCTCTGAACCCTCTCAGTACCTTACTGGAGGGCTCCGGGAGGGGATTTCAGCTACGGAAAGGAGGGACAAAAGTGACCCACCTTTTCTATATGGATGACCTCAAGTTATTCGCCTCCAGTCGCTCCCATCTTATGGAATTGCTAAACATCACTTGTGAATTTAGCAATTCCATTGGAATGGAGCTTGGGACGGATAAGTGTGCGGTCCTCCATGTTGAAAGGGGAAGGGTTGCTAACTCTGAGGGCGTAGACTTATCTATGCCCGTCAACTTAAGGACCCTTTCCGAGGCTGAAACATATCGATACCTGGGTATGTCACAAAACATCGGTATCGATGAGACTGGTATGAAACAGTCAGTTTGCGACGTGTTTTATGCACGCTTGACCAAAGTGCTTAACAGCCTTTTGTCCGGTGTGAATAAGGCACACGCATATAACGGCTGGGTCATGCCTGTCCTCATGTATACCTTTGGCATACTCAGGTGGACTCAGACTGAACTTAACGCCCTGGATAGAAAAGTCCGCACTACCATGACGTCCCATAGGATGCATCATCCGAGATCGTCGGTAATGAGGCTGTACTTGCCGCGGAAGCATGGTGGTCGTGGCTTCTTGAGCGCGCTCACCATGCATAATCGCGAAGTGTACAGCCTCCGTGATTACTTCCTGGCGAGATCGGATGATCCATTCTATAAGGACGTCATTTCTTGTGATAAAGGACTTACCCCTCTATCCTTAGCCAACGAGCAATGGCAAGACCCGGCAGTGCAGAGCATTTCCGACCGGGAGACCGTATGGAAGGAGAAGGAGCTCCACGGGAGGTTCTACAAGGCTCTACGTGAGCCTTTCGTAGGCACAGTAGCCTCCCTCCACTGGCTACGCTTTGGTGATCTCTTCGGGGAAACCGAGGGTTTTGTCTGTGCAATACAGGATCAGGTTATTAAGACCAACAACTATCGGAGATACATCCTAAAGGATGGCACCGTCGACATCTGTCGAGCTTGTCGCCATCCCGGTGAGTCACTTAGGCATGTTATCTCCGGTTGTTCGGCGCTTTCTAACTCTGAGTACTTGCACAGGCACAACCTAGTAGCCAGAATTCTACACCAGGAGCTCGCTCTGAAATACGGTCTTGTGGATCGGAAATTGCCGTATTACAAGTACTTGCCGGAAGCCGTGCTCGAAAATGATCGCGCCAGGCTCTATTGGGACCGGGCCATCATCACAGACAGGACTATTCTTGCGAATAAGCCTGATATTGTGCTGATGGACCGGGCACAGTCAAGGATATTTTTGGTCGACATTACCATTCCGTATGACGAGAACCTCGTGAAAGCCGAAACAGACAAGCAAACAAAATATCTGGACCTGGCTCACGAGGTGACCGACATGTGGGGTGGTCTGCCGACCGAAATTATTCCTGTAGTCGTCTCTGCAAACGGGCTAATCCCAGTCAGCCTCTCGGGTCATATGAGGCGGCTGGGACTACGTGGCGGACCGCTCCAGGTTCAAATGCAGAAGGCGGTGCTCCTCGATACCGCCCGCATCGTCCGCCGGTTTCTTTCCCTTTCCCCCTAACCCTCGGCCGTTTGGTCTCCCCTGCCGAGGGCCTCCATCTGGTTGGGCTTTTATTTATTTATGTACTTTTATACTTATTTTATGTTATTGATATTTATGTTTGTTTATCTTTTCATTTTCATTTATAATTATTTATTTATAGAACCCAACCAGATGAGAAAACTATATAGATACCCCATAGAATGATAAATATAGCTTACAGTTCATATTCAAAGTAGGGGTTGTTTCAGTGGGGTGTGCTCTCAAATGGTTAGACGCTCTACACGTTAAAACGGCGCGTACATCAGCTCTCCTCAGAGGCCCCACGTGGATAACTCCACGTACAGCATTCCCTTGAAGTGTAGTCGCCAGTGTGTCTTTCTATGTCATCGTGATACCACCTCACCCACGGCCTCTGTCATCCTGACACAAAAATTAAATACGTTAATTAATTTACAAATACTAATTACAATTTTTACTAGTAACTTTTTTGCATAGTAAATATATTTAGCAGAAAGAAATGTTATCATGTCATAGGTTATCACTCTTTAAATATGCAGTAATGATCATGAAATAATTTCCTATTTTATGTGAACATAGAAAAGGCGGGCTTATTGCCACACGTCATAACCTTCCAGTGGTACCTTTAGGTCAAAGGAAAAAATACATATAGGAAGCAAAGTGTAAAGTTTTACAAATCATTCTTATAAGAATAAATTGTTAGATTTAAAAACTCAATTCATGAGTACAAATATCCTGCATTTTAAATATTCATATCTTCTAAAAATACGCAACATATTCGAACATAAATATGAACACATAAATACATATTATACTTTTAAATATAACACATGTATTAATATATAAAAAATACTTTTGCAAAACTGAAATTATTTTGACAAAATAACAAAATCAAAATCGAGGATAGATTCTACACAAGGTCTAGAAGGTCAACTAAAGATGGTTGTTTAGTTCTTTGATGTATAGGACGGGCTGCTGCTCCTAAAAGCAGTGTAACACATTAGATATCATAATATTTAGGTATCTATTATTTAAGTTTTGCCATTGAATTAATAACCACATACGATATTTTAATGAGAACTTTTTTAAATACCTTGATATAATAAATGCAACATTGTCGATTATAACTAATTCACTACGGTGAACTAATTCACATTAAATGTTACGTCTGAGAAAATTGAATTCTATGGCGTGATTAATGATGTGCCCAGGATATAAGTATATGTCTACATTTCAGTTCAATTAAGGTCAAAACATTACGAAGGTCGAACATGGTATTAGAATAACGGGTCCATTCCAATAATTTTAAGCACCTTCGTAATGGTTAATGGGCGCCGGTTTGACACCGGATATTTCATTCGTTCACACCGTGCAACCCTATCGTAACATGATTTATGGACAGTATTACATCCTCCGTGTTGCAGTCATGTCGAGTTTTGACCCCTCTCATGTACGACCGCCATTTCGAAGTTAAAAGGGGGATTCAGAGTCCTTCTCTCATCTGCACTGCGTCAAATGACCTCCGATAAATTATTTATTTCTCATTTCGTGAAAAAACATTAACAAGAGCAAATAATAAACATCATAGATTAGTTTTTTTTAATATATATATTCGATCACCCGCACGGGTAGGCAAATACTACCGCGGTCGGGGAAAAGTTTGTTTCGTATTTTATATACAAAACCAAGTCTTTTTTTTTTTTCAAATTTAATTTACAATTAATTATATATGAGCCATTTTGTTCGATTACTTGTGAAATAATCCCGTTGCTGTAGACATCTTGAGATTTTTGATCAAAATTGTGCGACATGTTTTGATAGTCCTCTCTTGATGTTAACACTATCTAAAGAATTCCGAAGAGCCCGAAACAGTTAAAAATATGTGGGTGTTTGGTAAGGACTGTAGGGTGAATGAATCAAGCTCTGTTTTTTTTGCTTTGTGGCCAAAGCTGTTTGTGGTCTGGCTTTATAATGATGAAAGACCACTGCTTTTCAGTTGATTAATTCCGGCAGTTTTTTTTTTCAATTTCTTGCTTGGGTCTCACTAATTGTTGGCAATAGAGATCCGAATCGATGTTTTTGTCCGGCGTTAAAATCTCATAATAAACGATGACTTTCTAATTCCACCATACACATATCATTACCTTATTGCGTGTTAATTCGAGTTTCGCTCCTGTTTGTGGAGCTTGACCATGACTATTTTCGCATGTGCTTATCATAGGTTGACTGCTTTTCATCACCAGTGATCAATCTTTTCAAAAATGGTGGGGTTTTAGGTTGCTTTCGGTGTGCTCGTTTGGTACCCAAATATAGAGCATTTTTGTGTAGCCAGACTATTTCAAATGAGTCAAAACTGTTTATGGTCAACCTTCAATTCTTCGGCTATGTTGTTAATACTAATATGCCGGTCTTGCTCCACTTTTCCAAAAATTACATCGATTTTATCCGTATGAGGGTGACCAGAACAAGCTGCATTTTTGATATCAAAATTCCCGGGCTGAAAATGCTTGAACCAACTTTGTGCTATTCTTACGGACACTGCATTAGGTCCATAAATGTCAAAATTTTTTCGCGTCTTGTGTCGCATTTTTTTTTTCGTAACAAACTTCAGAAGGTATCGAATTTATTCGTTACATTCACTCATTTTGGCGGACAGAAAATTAATTGAAAAATGGCGAGAGTGCTTTTAAAATGAAAACTTCTTTAGCGGCGTTGTATACTTTATTTTTAATGGGTAAAAATGTTAAACTCTTGTCAAGACACGTGACCTGATCGAAAATTTGTAAGACGTCGTCGAAATTATAGATGGAAGTTGATTTTTCTGAGAGATAAACTTTTAATGTAATACAAATTGTCATGTTTGTGTATGATAGCGCAATAAATAAATATTGTAATCTACCACATAAATGATAGTACTTTTATCATCATCATCATCATCATCATTACAACCCTTCACAAGTCCACTGCTGAACATAGACCTCCCCCAAGGTATGCCCACAAAGCACGGTCCTGAGCCACCTGCATCCATCGACTTCCTGCATGTCTTACCAGGTCGTAACTCCATCTAGTGGGAAGTCGCCCTACACTTCGCCTACAAGTACGAGGCTGCCACTCTAGAATTCTTCTTCCTCAACGGTTGTCGGTATTTCGAGTCATATGGCCGCACCATTGCCACTTCAGCTTACTAATCCGTTGGGCTATGTCGGTCACTCTGGTTCTACTGCGGATATCCTCATTTCTAAGTTTATCACGCACAGAAACTCCGAGCATAGCCCTCTCCATAGCTCGCTGAGCGACTTTAAGCGTCCTCATACGGCCAGCAGTGAAGGACCACGTCTCGGTTCCGTAGGTCGTCACTGGCAACACGCACTGGTTGTACAATTTAGTTTTCAGGTTTTGAGGTATACCTGACGAGAAGATGCGTCGTAATTTCCCGAACGCTGCCCAGCCGAGTTGAATCCGTCGATTGACTTTTCGGTCGAAGTTGGACTTAACTAGTCGGACTATTTGTCCCAGGTAAACGTACTCGTCAACTACTTCGAGCTTAGTGCTCCCAACAACAACCGGCATGGGTGTGACATGGACATTAAACATGATCTTTGTTTTAGCCATGTTCATATTAAGACCTATCCGTTGGGATGCACTATTGAGGTCATTGAGCATAGTGCTTAAGTCCTCCAGCGATTCCGCCATAAGAACTATATCGTCGGCAAATCGAAGATCAATGATGTACTCGCCATTGATGTTAATACTGTATCCTTTCCAGTCCATTAGCTTGAAAACGTCTTAAAATGCAGCGGTGAAGAGTTTCGGGGATATAACGTCACCCTGTCTTACACCTCTCTGCAGTTAGACAGGTTTCGTACTCTGTACAGTGATATAATCGCCATTGATGTTAATACTGTATCCTTTCCAGTCCAGTTCGTGCAAAATTATTCCCTAACCATTCCAAAATATCAAAAATGCACTACGTTAATATTCAAGTTTTCACTTCTGCCGGCACTTCCGGAACGCAACCCGTCGTTTTTTACTCTCGCCCGATACAATCTTTAATTTTATATAAACAATATGCGAAGAAACTTATCCCCCTAGCTATTATTATCTCTCTTCTTTCCTTTACATTCATTTTAGTATCTACAAATATACAATATATACAATACATATTCTTCTATCATTTAATAGTTTCTCCTAAGTGTAAAATTGTAGAGGATATCTAGGATTTATTTTTAATGGAGTATGTAAAATATAAATTTAAAGGAGACTAGCTGGTGAGGAAACTACAGCAACATGTGGCTCGAAACCGAAACCTGCTTCACTTCGCTGGGATGCTTTATGAGTCACAAATACCCAAATGTCTCTTAGATAGTGAATATGGGCTGGCATATCTATAAAAATAAAAACTCAAAAAAAAAAATAGAAAGTTTAAATTAAGTGACGAGGAATATACCTCTAAATTATACATTAATTGGATAATATTAAAATTTTCTATCTTAAAGTTCATAGTTAACTTACCTCCAGACACGTCACACTTCAATGTAAATGTTTTTATTAATTACAGTAGGTACATAAAACGTAAGCAGGTGATGTATTTGCCAACAAGCTGCCCTGCAGTTTGGCGAAAGTAGTATAAGAAACAACCGACTGTATTCACTGTAATAAAATATTTGATTGGATTTTATGTAATAAGGTTTGCTTGCGTACTGAAATTTATCGCAAGTGCTTGCCTCTGAGCTATTAATGCCCAAAACATTAAATAATTTAAATTATATGTGGTAAACTTAAGAAATAAGGTGTTTTCCGTATGATTGTATATCACTCTTGGATATATCCGACCCTAAGTAGTATATACTAACTTGAGCACAGCACACTCTAGGGAGCGTCCTTTTTGCTACAGTAGAACAGAAGGTAGGTCTCACAAACATTGACTTGTTATAGTAAGTCAATAATAAGTTTCGAGTTCACAGTAGGTATCTTATTTTAATTGCAAGAATGTAAAGAATAGAATAAAATAGAATAATTTTTTATTCAATATAGATTACATGTAGTTCTTATTGAAAGTCATTTTTTACTTTACCACTGGTTCAAAAAAACATCTGCCCTGGTAAGAACCAGCAAGAAACCCAGTGGGACTTTTTTAAATGAATTTTACAATTTAGTCACATTACAATATATTTACAAGATTTATTTATAAAACAGCTTGGGAGGGACCACCTCATTCCCAGGGGTTATTATCAACCATTATTCATTTATATTATAATAGCCTTTTTTATAGTTTTTTAATTAAATATTTAAACTGGGTAATACCCTATACATCTTCTGGGACTTTGTTGTAATAGCACATACATTGCCCCAAGAATGAATTACCGACTCTATGGACTCGAGAAAGTAGTATCACAAAAAAATAAATAGGGTATCACTTCTATTTCGGATCACAACTTGAGTAATTGATTCGAAGCTTTAATGGAGGGCGAACTTTTATGGTTATCATAATTATAAAATCTTTAATACTAATCACCTAAGGTTTTAAAGCGAAATTTTGCATTTTGGGACGGTAAACTTGGAATAGAGAAATTACATAAAATTAAAACAAAAAGTTGAAATGGTCATTTTAATTAAGCTTATTTCCCGCCAGTTCCATTATCACGGGCTGCTTGCTGAATAGATATAATATTTCGACAACATAAGTACCCACTCTATTTTCGACTAATCAAGGATAAATTTCCTTTAAAATATTCACCATAAGTGGACCTCTTCAATAGATATTGACGGAATTATAAATCTTGTTTTAGACTCATATACCTCATGTAATCTTGTAAATATGTGCCATTTCCTCACCGACGTTCGTGTCACACAAGTTGTACCACACAAGGGCTTAAAATTTAACACCTAAATACTCTCTGCATTGGAAGCTGTGGTAAATTGTTGACCCGTGTTAGCTCAGACGGTTAGCGTTTTTCGCAAAATTCACAGTACGCGAGTAACCCGCCGAAATAAAATCCAAATTTATGTTAAAATGATATTAAAAGGAGTTTTATGTTGGTATATTTTAATACAATATTCATTAATTATACATAGCTCGGGCCTTTACCCGTGTTACAAGGATTAATAGCATCAGCTTTTGTACTGTCAATAACTCTGTGAATCAACCACGGTTGTCCCACTAAGCGGCTTTAGGGCTTAAATTTGCTTCATGTACATTTTTTGTTTGTATTCTCAGTGTAATTTACTGCAAAGTCGTTTTGCTTTTACTAAAAAAATCTGCGAATTTTATCTTTATTCTGTACTACGAAAAGGTTTTCATTGTATTTATTGAATAAAATGACGTTGATCATTGCCTCTACCTCGCTTGGCCTCCATGTTATTTTTGTCAGTGTCATATTTTTTAACATAAATTTCGTTTCATTTTTTTTTAAATTAATTTCATTCAGATTGGTTTTTTATAAAATTGTAATCTTTTCTTTCCTATCGAACCTTTTTGTTATTATGATAACTTTCTTTACCCAACCTTTGTGTTATCAGATTGGTTATATTGTATTAATAAACGAGATTCAAAAATTGGATTTTATCCAAGAGCAAACAAATTTTGTAAAAATGGACAAAAGGGTCTTCGGTAATAGGCTCGATTAAATTACCGTTACATTTTGTTGCATCGACCGTGTAGTGTCAGTATAAGAATACACTACGGCATATCGTTCGTGGGCCTCGTAAGAAGCAACAGGGGGAAACTAAAACGGAAGATGGGCAGCAGCATCTTTATAACAACTACCGTTACAGCCTATCAAATACCCACTGCTGGGCATATGCTTCACCCGTCGATTGCCTCATAGGATGGATATTTTTTTTAGTTTTCATCTTAGTAAGAACTACAAAACAATGGTTGCCAATCTACGAGAATAGTAGTAAACATGCCAAATATGGGGGATATTTGCCATGTTTACTACTTCGAGTCTATCAGGGAGGTCTAAGCTCAGCAGTGTATTTATTGCCAGGATATTTTTATTTCTTGAGTAAATAATTTAAGCAACCTTTCCGTTCATTAGCGTCATTTGATTAATTAGATAATGCGTTAAATTTCAGGCCCATTAAATATTAAAAGTAAAAGTATGTTAACTGCTTAAAATATGGAACACATTACAGTAAAAATATATGACCTACTTTAAAATTGGCCTCATAAAAAATTAAAAGCAAGCAACTGGATACGAGAATAATCCATAGATTAATTTCGTTTAAATATCTCTTTTTAATTTGTTTCAGTTTTTTATTTAATAATATTGTTTTTCATTTAACAAATTAATATTGTATATTCATTTATGAATTTCACTCAGGCATATCGACGTCAATTAATAAAATGCTTAAAATTGGTCTCTTTGTTTTAGAAGATTTTTTATAGAAATGGGTACATAAAGAGATAATTAATACTTAATTTAAATAAGCGATAATAAACTCTTAAATAAGCCTGTAAATTGTACATTAATGACTTACCTATGACTGTCAAGTTGACCCTGGAATTTCTTGTTTGAGCTTGCTTAAAATCAACTCTACTCGTACATCGATGTATTCCTTGATCGGAGGCTTGAACACGATCAACTCCCTATTCAGCTGGTCTTCTTTGTGGCAGGAAATACACTTTTGAAGTAGAAACGCTTGTTCCATATTTTCATCATACGAAAACTTTGAGAGTGGACGAAGTGAGATTGTTAATTATTTAAGATACCTCTCTTAAATAATTTGATAATGATTTCTTATATTTACGCGAACACTATACATTGAATAAAACTATTTATAGGGATTTTATAAAATCCGTATAAGTAAATCATTCATAAATGCAAAGGGAATATGTTTCTTAGGGTACTGTTAACATCGCCACTTCATGTAATACTGGCTTATCATAGGCAAAAAGTTACAATAAGAGCTGCAAGGCACGGCTGCAAGGCACTCAAGCAATCGAGCTGCAGACACAGCAGATCTGCTCGGTTCTTTATATTTGTAGAACAAGACAAATGCTTGGAACGATTATAAATTAAAATTAAACCATATCAATTACATAGGAATACATAATTAATTTCTTTTAAAACCGCGGTTCAGTTTACTATAAGGATATATATTCTACAATAATGAGGAATTCTAACAAAACGTCACCAAACACAAATTAAAAATAAAATTTAACATTTATCAAAATATTATGAGAATTATATAACAAAAGAGGAATGATACGAAGATCTAACGGATTGTGGTATAGCTATTTTGTTTATTTCAGGCATAAAACACCCAGACTGACTACAGGTAGCAGTCCAGATGCCAGGCATAACCAATAACCCATGGGACAAGATCCATTGCTGGCAGGGGACTTTTATAAACCAATAAAGGAGAATAAGTAAAATGAGCAATTTATTATCGTTAAATATGGCTCGATTGTTAAACAGTTTACTGTTAGACATAATTATGTCACAAGTTATGAGGAAGTAAGTCTTCGATAAAGCCTCCGGATTTTTCATGGGGAAGACCCCGTCATCTTGTATCTGTAATCATTTGGATATTATTTAACACTTATTTAGATTTTCAGGCTAGCCTTTTGATTATAAGGTCGTAATTTATATTCATATCGAAAAAGACACTATGTTGTATACCTCGAACGCGAAGCTGAGAGGTTGAGCTTTATTGTCATCTTGAAAAAGCCACGCAACCAACTCTTGTTAAATTGTGTATATTATTTTTACACCACATTAATTTGTGAAGAAAAGCACATTGGCAACTTTAAAAATGTAAATTCAGCAGTGGCAATAGACTTAACAACTTTATTATGAGGGTATCTGTAAAAATATTTTTTTTGTCATGTAGTGGCGGCGTAAGAGAATTCACTGTCCCATTTTATCCCGTGGGTGTCGTAAAAGGCGCCAGAGAAAATAAAACGGAAGACATATTGCAGCATCTTCCTCATAACAACTCAAAGTATTAAAAAAAAACTGCTCTTTCAAATTACTTACCTGGCGTCGGAACTATGCCAAATATCTTTTATTAACAAATGTGGGAAAATATTGATTATTATAAATATATAATTTATTTACGTGGTAGAGCCATGCTGTGGCTATATTAATTGTATAGTTGTAGCACGAATGGGTCGGCTCGACCGGGGAAGGACCACGCTCTCACAGAATACCAGCGTCAAATAGCAACTTAATGCTGCTGTGTTTCGTATGGTGAGTGTAGAGAACCGGAGACCCTTTTTACTGGAAAAGAGGCATTCCATTTTAGTCCTCAAGGCTGAACAACGCATCTTCATTTTGATTCGCAAACAAGGATAGATGTAGATGTCTATAGGCCACAGCAACCACTTAC